CCATATTTATTCGGTCTGTATGCTGAAAAATAATCAAAGAAGCTAGATTATATGAAGAAGAATTTGGCATCAGAACTGGAAGAGGGCTTATTAACAGCCTTCAGTATGCAGATGATAGTACTTTGATTGCTGAAAGTGAGGAGGACTTGAAGCACTTTCTGATGAAGGTCAAGGATTGCAGTCTTCAGTATGGATTATAAAGCAGTGTAAAGAAAACCAAAATTCCCACAACTGGACCAATAGGTAACATCATGATAACTGGAGACAAGGTGGAAGCTGTCAAGGATTTCATCTTGCTTGGATCTACAATCAATGCCATGGAAGCAGCAGTCAAGAGATCAAATGACACGTTGCATTGAGTGAATCTGCTGCACAAGACCTCGTTCAAGTGTTGGAAAGCAAGGGTGTTACTTTGAGGACTAAGGTGAACCTGAGCCATGGTATCTTCAATGGCCTCGTCAGCATGTGAACGTCAGACTTTGAAGAAGGGAGACTGAAGAAGAATCAATGGATTTAAATCATGGTGCTGGAGAAGAATATTGAAAGTTCCACAGACTACCAAAAGAACAAACACATCAGTCTTGGTGGATGTACTGCCAGAATACTCCTTAGAGATGCGAATGGTGAAACTTTGTCTCATATCCTTTGAGTGTTTCCAGGGGAAACTTGCCTCTAGAGAAGCACATCCTGCTTGTTAAAGTAGAGGGGAGATGGAAAAGAGGAAGGCTCTTGCCAAGAGGGATTGACACCGTGGCTGCAACAATGGGCTCAAACAGAACAATTGTGAGGCTGGCAGAAGACTAGGCAATGTTGTTTCGCTCTGTTGTACCTGCCTTTACCTTGATCTGGAACTTACTCAATGACACCTAACAAGAAGAAGAAGAAGAAGAAGAAGAAGAAGAAGAAGAAGAAGAAGAAGAAGAAGAAGAAGAAGAAGAAGAACAACAACAACAACAACATCATTTTCTTTTGTGGGACTCAGTAGAAAATAGAAATGCAGGACTTCTTGTTGAAAAAGTATCAAGACTTTAACCATTGTGCCAGCAGAGCATGAGCCTAGTTCAGGGGCTTCTGAGCGTAGGACTCTGAGCATCCGTGCAGGTACACTACCACAAGGCTGGCCCTGGTCATTCCTTGTACACGTTTCTGTCTCAGCACTATAACACTAATTTTCAGTCGATGTGCAATAAGATGGAGATGGCTATATGTATGAGAACTCACAAGGACCATAACAGGTCTGTTTGGAAGAATATTTTGGTAGTGTGGGATAAGAATCTAGAAGGCTTGGTCATATCTGGGTTATACACATCTGTTTCTTCTGGGAGACCATCATACTGAATAGTGTGTATTCATACCGACTGAGGGAATAGTAGTTGAGCTTTTACCAAAATGATCTCTCAGTGATTTAATTCCAGCCAGTGTGATAAAGTTCACTGAAAACTGTAAGCCGTGTAGAGAACTACCTTCTGTAGAACATCCAGGCCGGTTTTTACTTTCTAATATCAGACACTCTCAAGAAACAAGTTGAGGACCAAAAAAATCACCCACCTGGATTTGAGTTTTCCCCATGATCACTCATACCCTTCTCTTGACTTCCTCAAATTTCTTAACTGGAAACTTCTGGGCTCCTGACTTCCTCTGCTGATATCCCTTCACTGTTTTTGGATAGTGGCATAGTCTCTTCTAGAACCACATTGTACTCCTGGAGAGAAGAGAGGGAAGGAGTTACAGGAGAAGTACATCACAAGATCCATTTGATGGGAATTCTCTCACTCCACCCAAGAAAAACCAAAAGCTGCGTTTCCAGTGGACTAGAACGATTCCAGTATTCCAAGGTGGAGCTAGTTGTCTGTCATGCTGGGCTTGTCTTGGATAACTAACACTTGATCTTTAGAAGATAATTAAGACCTAGGGATTTGACTGATGTTGCTTCTAGTCCTTTGCATTATCTGTACCATGGATTGGACATAATCACAACTGTGATTATGAGGTGGCTCAGAAAAGTAGATTCTCTCTTAATACATCACCTAAGAGCCGGCCAATATTGTGCCAACTTTGTGCCACCTGCTCCTTTCTACCTGAGGACAGAAGGCAGTCCCTCAGCATGCTGGGTACCATCTTCCAATATCAGTGTGACCTCACCTCATCCTCTTTCCTTTTAGCAACCATACCTTCATGTTGAAAATTGTGTTTGTCTTGTTCCTGACTGCAACTTCAGCTTGCTCTTCCCCTGCAGTAGGGCTTAGGCCCATGGCTGATGCTGAAGAAAGACTCCGCTTAAGGTTTGGCTAAGTTGGAGGGTGGGGATTTTTCCTGGAACACCTTAGAAGCATGTGCTCTTTAAAATACAGGCGTGGGGCTCACACAGGAGAAGAGATGTCCATCTCCTCTCTGGGCCCTCTCCCTGCTGATGGGCCTGGTGACTACTGTCTCTATCTTCCCTTTGCAGGTTGGACTGGCACAATTTGATACCCCCATGGCTAAGACGTCGCCAGTTAGGGCTGCAAACAAAAGACCAGAATTTCATGCTGGAGGGTTCCGCCTTCTGGATCTTCGGTGGCTCCGTGCACTACTTCCGGGTACCCAGACAGTACTGGAAAGACCGTCTGCTGAAGCTTAAAGCCTGTGGCTTGAACACCCTCACCACGTGAGTGCTGGCCCTAATCCTGGTCCACCAGCCTTAGTTGCCAAACAGGACCTAGAGTCCAGATCTTTTAAAATGGCAATCCCAGTTGTGTTTGGGGGAAATGAGCCCTCTTAGATCCTAAATCCAAATAACCCCTGTAAGCGAAGCCTTGGCTGAGTTTTGTGAGGAGATTACAATGTAGTTGGAATTAACACCAAACATTTGCTTAAATCTGATGAATAAGAATTCTCTCTCCTGACCCTCCCAGAACTCCAGATCAATAGACACAGTAAAGTGTCAAGTGCTTGTAGTCTAAAGAAACAATTGAAAATAATTAACAATCTATAATCTATCAGGGGGCCATGAGGGTTGTGGGGAGGCGGGGAGAGGGAAAAAAGGAGGAGCTGATCCCAAGGGCTCAATGGAAAGTAACTGTCTAGAAAAGAATGCTGGAATATAAGTATGAATATGTTGGATACAATTGATGTATGGTTTGTAACAAGAGTTGCAAGAGCCCCCAATAATGATTTAAAGAAAAAGGAAAGAAACAGAAACAAGAGTAAGTATGCAAGGGGGTGTAAAATTGCTCTTGGAAAAATTCCACAAACCTTTCATCATTTTCCCCAAACCTTTTTGAAGCACCTTTAGGTATATAGAAGGTGAATACACAATCATGATTAGTTTTCAAGACCCCTCAATTTATAAAGTACTACACAAGGACTCAAACAGTTCGTTCTATAATATTAAATGTTCGAAGGGTGTTTGAGCTGTGACGACATTGTTGAAATAACTGTGTGCTACCGTGGCTTAGATATTGGACTGCTTGCCACAGGTTAGTAGTTCAAATCCCTCAGCTGCCCCATTGGCGAAAGGTGCTGTCTGCTTAAGCGTCTACTTCCATGAAAGTTTATCTTGGAGACTCTACTTTGGGTTGCTCTGAGTCAAAATCAACTCCTTGGCAGTGGGGTTTTTTGGGTGGGGGGCATGGTGGGGAGGACAGTGAGGTGAGGATAACCTTTCGGAAAGAGGACTTGGAGGATCCATTTATTTGCATACCTTAATTCTGATACTGGGGTTACAGTAACACCTTATAGTACTCCTGAAAGGGTATTGTAGGAATATTGCAGGATCGGCAATTTGCTTTATAAAAGCCAGACAGTCTGTATTTGCCGACATGAATCTCTTGAGTTCTAGTTGGAAGCAAGAAATCCGTCACTCCTTTCATCGGTGCACCTTTTCTGCAGTGGACAGAGCTCGGCTGGCGGCCCAGGGCGGAGCAGCGGCCATCACTCGTGTCAGCTGTGAACTCATATTTTCTTCCTCCTGAGTTCCTCCTTCAGGACCTGCCACTTCCTGCTTGCCTCTTTCATTGCCCACCTGCTGCCTTCAAGCAGGCTCCTAGGGACCTTAAGAAGGGTTTCTGAGGCTGTAATTTTTAGAGGCGTAGGATAGCCTCAGGTGTCTCCTGAGAAGCTGCTGGTGGGTTTGAACCACCAATTTTGTTAGGAGTCCAATCTTTTTTTTTTTTTTAGAGTTATAATCTCTATTTTGTGTGGTCTGTGGGAATCATGCATGCTTCAATTAAAAACAGGACTGATAATTTGACTTTCCTCTTCCCCTATTAAAAAAGTATTATTTTTCTTGCTGTTGAGAATAAACAGAGCAAAAGCCAAAACCAAAAGAACCCCAAACCCCAAACCAAAAAAACCTAAACCAACTGCCAGAGAGTCAATTCCATCTCATAATGGTCCTATGTCGGGTTTCTGAGCTGGCACATCCTTACAGGAGCAGAGAGCCTCACCTTTCTCCCACAGAGTGGCTCATGGGTTTGAACTGTCAACCTTTCTATTAGCTCCATGCCTAACCCACAGTCCCAACCAGACTCCTTTTATAGAGCAGAATAACATACACCAATTTAAGTTTCTACATACACAAACAATACCATGACACTGATTGCATTCTTTGAGTGGTGCAATCATACCCATCCTCCGCTTCTGAATTGTTCCTCCCCATTAACGTAAACTTACCGTCCCTTATGCTTCCTGTATAATCCTTTTCAGTTGCTGTTGTCAATATAGGTGGATCTTAAAAGAGCATCATGCTCAAGGTAATTAAGCAAAACTAGTGTGTGATTTTTAAGAAGACCCCAGGAGATCTTTTGGGTTTAAGATTTAAAGATTAAATGAGAGTTTTCCTCCCTACTTTTTACTTATTTTCCAATGAACTTACATTTTGGAGAGAAAGCTGACCTGTAATCACGGGATACAACCTCAAACTCAGTATGTCTGTCCTTCCTTCAAACCTTGTCAATGCCCTCCCCTTTCTCTAAGGCAATTTTGACACCAGGGACTTGCCCTGGGGCTTCTTGTTGGTTTGCCCCAACTTCCACCGAGTTGGCTGAAACTCCTGGCCACCTGATCTATAATACAGCAAAATCCGGAGTCCATTGTGTAGGCTCGTCTTCCAGCACTGTGGTGACAATACTCTAGTGTCACCCATGAGGCTTTCAGTGGTTGGTTTGGGCCAGCAGATCACCAGGCCTTGATTCCTGGGCTGTCTCAGTCTGGAAGCGCTATAATGTCTGTTGGTTTGGGAATCCTAGTGGCACCATTTCCAGCATTGCAGTTACGCACAAACCAGTGCAGTATGACAAGTTGACAGATGGGCCATGATCAAGGCTGCCAGAGCAGGGGTTTTAGAGACGAATAAAGCAATTTGGGAAATGAAGTGGCATCAATGAAAGCTCATGCCTGTAATTCTATTTCTGTTGCAGCTATGTTCCCTGGAACCTCCATGAGCCAGAAAGAGGCAAATTTGACTTCTCCGGGAACCTAGATCTGGAGTAGGTATTGATGTTACTTCTGCTGCCAACCGCAGGTATTTGGGATTCCTGAGGAACAACGAGGCATTACTGGAAGAGACAGATTCTGAAGCCGTCTTCTTAGGAGGCGCAGAAAGTCTCTGTCCCTGAAACCCCTCTCCAGTGGGCACTTGTGACTGCTGGGTGAGCGGGCCTGCCCCCTCTGTGCTCAAACATCTTACTGTCCCCACACACAGGCTGCCCAAGGCCTCTGGTGGAGGTCTGGGTGCAGCGTGGGCCCATTACCCGACTGGGAGAGGAACTGAGGCGAGGGGTCAATTTCATTGCTCTGACTGCACTCGCACCCTTGAGGAATCAGTCCTGGGCCCCCACCTGGACCTGGGCAGGGATTTCCCTTCTTGAGTGGGAAGGGCTAGAGGGAGGGCTACAGCCTTCACCCCACTAACCTTGTCACTGGTTGAGAAAGCTAGGGGAGGGGAGAGGGGTGGAGCTGATAGCTCTGTCTCTACACTGTATGTTCTGAGCCCCGTGTCCCATGCTGAGTGTAATTCTTCCCTCCTCTGACGTGACTTCCCTCCGCCCCACAACTTGAACTCGGAATGTCCTCAGAGCCACTGACACTGTCTTCCTCCTTAGAGCCTTCATCTGGATGGCTGCAGAGCTTGGGCTATGGGTGATTCTTCGTCCAGGGCCCTATATCTGCAGTGAGGTTGACCTTGGGGGATTACCCAGGTGAGCAGGGCTGGGAGAGGCCTCAAACCGTGCTCTTGTGTTCTGCAAAATGCTAGTCACAAAATTAGGTCGATTGTATTTTTAAAACACATGATTTCGGTCTGTACTGGATTTTTTCCCCTCCAGAATAAGTAGAACGCAACAAGGATAATTTCAAATGGTGTGATAATTTCTACCCTGTAAAAATACCTCCCACCCCCTCGATATGACAAGCAGCCAGGGGAAGAGCTGCCCCTCCAAGGCCTGTTATTTCATCAGGGTTCTCTTGAGTTGGACCCTCGGGGGCATTAGTGAACTTTGCTAGAACCCCACTTTCTCCCTTCATGAAGTAGGAAAAGTACACCTGGCCTCATCTATTTCTCAGGTACATTACCAGCATTCTTAAAAATAAAAGATGGAGAATGTTTTTAAGTAAGTACGGAAAACACATTAGGGTTGTGTCTTCCCATCTCAGACATTAATTTACTATGGTCTGTGTAGCATCAGCTGAGGTTAGTACAACAATCTGTCGTTGGATTGGAAATCTGGACAAGAATCATCAGTCGTTGTTCAAGCAACCGTGCTTCCTGCTGACATCGAAGTCTTCCTTGTCTTCGTACAGCACCAGATGGCGAGGCAGCTCCCAGGAGGGCAGAAAGCCGTCCCTGGAGTTCTTCGCTCTCTTGGGGGGCGTGGCCTCTCACAGCACAGCGGCACAATGCCACTTGTTTTCTTCTTTCCAGCAAGACACAAGCCCTTCCCGAGGGACATGGCAGGCAGGCTTTGCCCTCCCCCACTTCATCTCTGTGCGGCCCCATGGCCACGTGTACCCTCAGAGCTGGCCCGAGAGCGGCCCTGACCTGTGGATTAGAAAGGGGTGCACCTGGCTCCTTGGGCGCTGACGGGCCAATCACAGGAGGACAGGATTTAACAGTCCTAGTTTAGAAGCGTGTTATCACACACGGGCTTCAGCCTTTGCGACTTGTGGACACATTGCCGAAGTGCCCCTAAAGGCACAGGCACGCGGGACACTGAGCTAGGGAGGAGGCTGGGAACACTAGACGGCAGGCAGGACGCTGAAGCTGAGGGAGACAGAGAAACTGTCTTCTGGGAGGTAGACGTGGAGGAAGGTACTCTGTCCCCATCCATTTTTCAAGGTTTAAATCGACGCTCTCAGACCCTGTTCAAAACTTCCAGACCAGGACAAGAGGAGCATTTCTGTTCAAAAATAGAAGAGCTTTCTGAGAATTTCAAGCAGGAAGAAAAATATCTTGACGACAACACTCAGTTTATTTCAAAACAACAACATCAACAACCCCCTCATCTTCTTGCTCATTGCTCCTTTGCAATCTGAGCTCTCGGTGGCTGGTGGGCTGGCGCAAGTGCATGCGTCTCCTCAGTCCAAGTTTCTGGACCCGCAGGGAGCAAGACAGCCGAGTCACATCTCTTAGTCCCAACCTCACACCTGTTTTCCCAGGAGATGGCAGGCAGGCAAAGTTTATGTTCTTCTCTGTCCCCAATGGTTTCTGGCCATGGGTGCCATTCCCCCGAAAGAAGGTTATCAAGTCAATGGAATGGAATCCTTTGGGCTGGTCCCCCCAAAGAGTTTTATTTCTCACTCAGCCCAGTAGCCCTGTCCTAGAGCTATGAAGTAGCATGACCATTCCTGCTGGCTCTGGAGTCCCTCAGTAGGGACACAGTGGTGAGTGGAGGCCAAGGGCTATGTGACCTCATGCTCTGGTAGGTTTGGAACAATCCCAGCGCTCCCTGTTTGGAAAGAGCCGCTGGGGACCAGTCTGCAGCTGCTCCATTTTATTTCAGTATGGCCTGGCTTCCACCCAGTCACACACAGTGAAGCTCCCTCTCCTCACTTCTCCCTCCTAGCTGGCTACTCCAAGACCCTGACATGAAGCTGAGAACCACATACAAGGGCTTCACCAAGGCCACGGACCATTACTTTGATCACCTAATGTCCAGGGTGGTGCCCCTCCAGGTAAAAACAACCTCACTCCTTCCTCCTTTTCCTGTCTTCCTGATGGTAAGAGATGGTCTAATACAGTGGTTCTCAACCTTCCTAATGCCCCAACCTTTTAAGATAGCTCCTCATGTGGTGGTGACCCCCCCCAACCATAAAATGATTTTCATTATTTTCATAACTGTAATTTCACTACTGTTATGAATCGGGCCATGCCTGTGAAAGGGTCGTTTGATTCCCCAAAGGGGTCGCTATCCACAGGTTGAGACTGCTGGTCTAATAGATAGTCTTGGGCTCTCCGGCCAAGGGGGTCACAGTGTTCTTCAACACTGATTGAGTATTACTAGTCTCATGATTTACAGTCAGGGTCTGAAAGCAGTTCACCTGGTTTCGTCGGTGACAATGGAACTGGAAGCAGGACGGACTGGAGTTTGCAACATGTGGGTCCCTGGAACAGGAATCAGAGCGGGAAAATGAAGGCTTGACACCTTAGAAAGAGAGACACGGAATAGGTAAAGGGAGCTCTTTGAGCAACTTGATGTAGGACAGGGGTGGGGAACCTTTTTCTATCATGGGCCATTTGGTTAATTATAACATCATTCTTGGGCCATGCTGGTCAAACATTGAATTAACTCATCTTAATGGGCTGGTTGGAACAGCTTCTCTTTGGTGAGGCTAGCATTGATGATTTCAAGGGCCTTCTACTGGCTGCGGCAGGACATTGCCCACCTCTGATGTAGAAGGCTGGATTATTGCCAGCCCCGTGGAGAGTAAGACATGCCAAGCTGTGTGGTCAGCCACCATTTTTGAGCCGGGCAGGGCATAGTTGTTTCAGACTCTGCTTATCAAGGTCCGATGTTGCTATGTAACCTACACACTGCTCTTGTTTCCTAAGAGGAAAATTATTTCTAGCAGGGTGCTGACTTGTAATTTTTCACATTTTATACCCACATTTGACAACTTTTGGCCTGCCCCAGTTTTATTTCCTTGGCCATGACCGAACCAGGAAGAACTGGTTTGAAGCCCTATTTGTACTTGATTGTGCAGTTGAGGAGACCTGTGAGCCGTGCTGCTGTGGAGAGTGTGTGTGGTTGAACAGTGTGTGGTGGAGAGGCCAGGTAACACCAGGACTTGTGTTACTTCATAGAAAGCAGCTAGGCAGGATACTGACAATAGTGCTTGTCCCATGGCACTATGGCTTACGGACCACAGAGAACAATCGTACATGGGCCCTGCAGCCAGCAGCGAGGCTGGGAACTTTACCTTGTGGCCAAAAGGAGGCTGGATGGCATGACTTTATTTTCCCAAACCTATGTGGTAAAATGGAATTTTGAGGGCAGTCTCTCAGCATCACGCATGAAATAATTGTAAGCACAACAAAAGCAGGATTCAGAAAAACTCACACAGTTGTTTATGCAACACCCCAAAGAGTCACATTAACAATTTAGTACATTAAGAAAAAATAAGTTTATCTGTAGAAATTTACCTTTGAGCCAATGTTCACACTATACATGTTCATACTACACATAGATCAAAGGGAAGGATCTGATCAAGGAGAAGGTTGTCAGATAAAACACAGAATTCCCAGTTAAATTTGAATTTTAGAGAAGCAATGCATAATAAGTTTTGTATAAGTATGTCCCTAATCATAGGACATACTTTGACTAAATAATATTTATTGTTTTATATGAAAATAAAATGTAACTAGGTAGCATCTGTTTTCATTTATTTATTCTGCCAACCCTGATCTTGTGGGAAGCAAGAATCTAGGACGTCATCAGCCTACATTTTTTAGACAAGGTATAATGACTGGAGTTGTGTAAGCACAGATCGTAGTACCACAGCAGGTTGTAGTAATAGGGTGGGTGGTAGAGGTATTGATGAGAACAGTAGGGAAGGAAGGTCACACAGGGACTATGGCCCCGAAGCACTCTTAAAAACAGAAACCAAATGCCAGACACTTTGAGACTATTGTTATCAAATGGGACATTTTGTTAGTAATTAGTTATCCAGTCAAAATCCAAAGCCACTGCTATCTGGTTGATTCTGACTCCTTGTAACCCGAGATAGGCTTCCTTAGGCTGAAGCTATTTACAGGAGCCAGACAGCCTCAACTTTCCTCCATGCAGTGGCTGGTGGGTTTGAACTGCCAGTTCCCTCTACAAATCCAGCTTCTGATTGTTTATTTTTCTTTCAGTATAAACACGGGGGACCCATTATTGCTGTGCAGGTGGAGAATGAATATGGTTCTTATAACAAAGACCCAGCCTACATGCCTTATATCAAGAAGGTAAGAAAAAATTGGTTCATTTTTACTAATTTCTCTCCTATTATTTCTCCACACAGCAGACTTTTGAAAATATATTTTAATATTTTATTGACATATGGTTCACATATCATGTACTTTCATAGTTCAGTCATATTAAAAAGAGTTGTGCAATCATCTCTACATTCAGTTCCAGACATTTTCTTCCCTCTTGTATTTCATTATTAGCTCCCCATTTCCCTCTAGCCTCCCATGCCCTCAATAATCTCCTAATCCAATTACTATCTTTATAGCTTTACCCATCCTGGTCTTAAACAGGGAGTATTAAGAACTAGAACAAATGTAAAATTAGTCAAACGGGAGATCAGATGATCAGGCATCGCATTACAACCTAATTCCATCTAGCTTGATCAAGTTTACAATATTCTCTGTCTGATAGCAAGGATATACTCATCCCTTAACCAGGGCCAGAGGGGATTCATAGGACCCTGCAGATGGATTTTGGGTTCCCACTGTCATCCACTGCCTTCTGCAAATCAGGTCTGCACAATGTCAGCTCTGATAACACGCTCTCCTTTGGATTTTATTATTTATCCTTGGGTCACGCAGGCTGGCGTGCTTCTTCCATGTGGACTTAGTTGACCTCTCAACTCAGCTGGCTGCATCGCAGAGACTTCTGACCTTCTTTAGATCTGACCTCTACTTCCAGGGCTTCCTAAGAGACAACGGGCTAAAACTGGACACATCAGGATTCTACTCCAGCTTTAGCATTGTCCCACATTTTCCCTGCTTGATTATAGTCAATCTCTTCTAGTCAAATAAGGAAATCATTCTAATGTCAGCATTCACCTGGAAATGGGTGAAAGACACTGACATCAAATTGATTCGGATGCACAGAACTCTGTAGTATGGTACAGCTGTCCCTTTGCATTTCTGAGACTTCAAAGTTTTATAGAAAATTTGAAGACAACTTTGAGAGACCACACTGGGGAAATTTTTGGCAAAGACGTATCAGACAAGCGATTAGTTTTGAAAACTACAACACTTCAACAAGAAAATGACAAATAACCCAATTAAAGAAAGGACAGAGAGAATGAACAGTTACTTCATCAAAGAAGACATCAAAGGTTGCCAACAAACATATGAAGAAAAGCTTGTGATCATTAAAGATGCAAATCAAAACAATAGTGAAATATAATCTCACCCCAACATTCATAGCAAAATAAAAACAAAATAAAACAAACAAAACCACCCCTCCAAGAACAACAAATACTGGCAAGGGTGTAGAGACTGGTGCCCTTATCTACTTTTAATGGGGCTATAAAAGAGTTGGGAATAGCAAAAAAAAAAAAAAAAAAAGTTGGGAATAGCAATATTATATGACCCAGGACCCTTCTACTAGGTCTGTCCTAGAGAATTAGGAACTGTGGCATGAACAGATATGTGAACACTCATGTTCATGGGAACTCTGTTCAGAACAACAAAAAGATGGAAACAAAAGTGTCCATTAATGGCAAAATGAATAAAGAAACTCTTATATATACATACAGAGTGGAATACTACATAACACTGAAGAATAACCATGAGTCTGTGAGACACTCCGGAACATGGGATGATCCTAGAGGATGTCATGCTGAATTAAATTAGTCAGTCACTAAAGGACAAAGATAGTATGAGACTACTATAATGAAAAGTTAAGGAAAGGTTTACAAACACACACACACACACACACACACACACACACTCTTTAGTGGTTATCAGGAGTCGAAGATGGGAGAGGGTAAGTCATTAACTGAAAGGTATACATGTTAACTTGGGTGAAGGGGAAAGTAATAAACAACAAAAAAGTTTGGCAAAAAAATGATGGAGACAGGTAAGAAACTAGGAGGAGTTCAAGAGTTAAAGGCAACAGACGTGAATACATATACATAATCCTGTAATATGCCTGGTAAACAATTATGCACATTCCTCCAGTACTGGTGATCTACTGGTAGATGCATGGAAGGACAAGCAGGCTGAGTGTGGAAGGAAGAGTGTACTCACAAATATGTAATGGTTTGACAGAAGATTGCATTTTCTCTTTCTGGAAATATATCCATGAATTTGATGATGGTGCATACAGGGATAAATGTTATTAAAGCTTCTCAGGCATAACCAAATATATATCCATGGATTTGGTGATGGTGCATACAGGGATAAACATTATTAAAACTTCTTAGGCATAACCAAAAACCTTGAGGAAATGGGTTGCTGGGCCTGGGAATTCAGGACCATAGTGTCGGAGGACACCAAGGTCAAATAGCACACCATAGTCCACAATGACAGTATTCGATGCCCTACTTGGTTGTGTAGTGACTGGAATCTTAAAAGTTCATGATTGGCCATCTAAGGTGCAACTATGGGTCTTTTCTTGTCCAGGGAAAAGAAGAGTGATGATCACTGAAACCACTTGGGAACAATTAGTCTAATTTACTAACAACTCAGTCTCTGCGATGCTGGCACCAGAAGTAGATGGTGTCTACCTACCACTCTCCACTGTTATGAAAGGGATCACATGAGAAGGTCCTGTATAGGGTGGGAGAAAAAGGAAGAAAAAAAAAAAAGAGCAATCATTTAAAAAGACTAGGTTTACTAGTTCAGTCGAGATTGGTGGATTTCCAGAGAATAAGGCCCCTTGTTTCCCTTCAGGTCTGAAGACCCCGCCCCCCACCACCTTGGCTCAGTTTTTAGCCAAACAATGGACAGATTTATAATGTAAACCATTAACACTAGGGAGGTACATACTTCTCAGAATTACCGACCATTTGGGGTCAATAGGGCAGCATTGTCCAAGGACGAAGGTTAGCAGGGTTAGGATGGAAGTCGAAGTGGAGAAACAGGGCGGAGGTGGAATGAATGGTGTTGCACTGAGGGGATTGCAAAGAATGAGATGAAATAAAATGTGCTTGAATTGTTGAATGTAAAACTGATGATCTGCTGGGTAGAACTTTACCCAATTCATAATCAAAAGCTTAAAACGGAGAGATCAGGTTTCAACCCTATGTGCCAAGACATGAATACAACATACCGGCATGTACCAGGGAACCAATTGAGAGATTTGTGGGGCTGGCCCCAATCCAAACTATGTGGACACCCCTGACCACTGCAAGAAGAATGCACTTCAGAGGACAGCAATGGGGCTACAGCCTGGGGAGATGGGCGCATCTGATTAGAGCACATGGGAGAAACACAAAGGGATGGAGAGGGAGGGGAGGACATCCTGGCCCACAAAGCCCCGAGGAGGATATTCCTACTCAGAGCAGACAACGTACAGAGAGTATCATAGGGCCTGCCCCAGCACGAGACATGACATCCCTCACTAAACCATAGTGCTGGGCAGAGGGGGCAATACTGGGACAGCACAGTGCGGGAATTGTGCCCAATCTGACCCCATCACAGTGGAATGAAACACTAAGGGCATGCAACAGAGCAGCAAGGGGAACAAAGTGATAAAATACCTGGGGAATATAAAAAATAGACTTTGGAGAAAGAGTGTGGCACCCCACCAGACTCACCTGGAAAACACTTGTGAAGACCAACAAACAGACCTTGAACTATTTATAGGCTTTTCCATTTTTGTCATTGGCTTTCATTTGGTTGTTTTTGTTGTTTTGCTGTTGTTGTTTTTATTTTGTTGGTCTTGACTTCCTTTGTTGTTTTATCTAGCTTTGGTGGGTTTTTGTGCTTATTAATGTCTCTGCATGTCTATCTAGATAAGATAGGCGGCATAAATAATTTGGAGTTGAAAAGAATGGGACCAATGGTTCTGGGGAATACAGAGAAGGGGAGGTGGGAGAAGGGAAGGGGGGGTGGTGGCAACCAACCCAGGGACAAGGGAACAACAAGTGAACTAAAATCAATGGAGAGAAGGGCATAGGCTGCCTATTGGGGCTTAATCAAGGGCAATGTAGCAGCGAAGAATTACTAAATCAGAATGAAGGCCAAACATGATGATGGGACAAGAGGAAAGCAAAAGGAAATAGAGGAAAGAACCAGGAGGCAAAGGAAATTTATAGAGATTTAAATACAGGCATGTACACATGTAAATATATTATAATGAGAGGGGAATAGAACTATGTACTCATATCTATATGTTAAGAATTAAGGTGGCAGATGGACATTGGGCCTCTACTCAAGTATTCTCTCAACACAAGAACACTTTGTTGGAACAATCTGGCATTCTGTGATGCTCACCTTCCCGACATGATCTCTCGCTGAAGACAAAATGGGTGCATAAGTAAATGTGGTGAAGAAAGCTGATTGTGCCCAGCTATCAAAAGATATAGCATTTGGGATCTTAAAGGCTTGAAGATAAACAAGTGGCCATCTAGCCGAGAAGCAACAAAGCCCACATAGAAGAAGCACACCAGCCTGTGTGATCATGAGGTGTCGATGGGATCAGGTATCAGGCATCTAATACCCAGAAAAAAATCATACCCAAGGTGAAAGGGGGATGGGGTATGGGTGGAGACCCAAAAACCATCTGTAGACAATTGGACATCCCCCTACAGAGAGGTCACAGGGAAGAAATGAGCCAGTCAGGGTGCAGTATCGCACTGATGAAATATACAACTTTTCTCTATTTCTTTCATTGCCCCCACCCACTATCATTAACTCAGTTCTATCTTACAAATCTGGCTAGACCAGAGCATGTACACTGGTACAGATAAAAGCTTGAAACACAGGGAATCCAGGATAGATACCCGCCAACAGGATAGATAATGGACCAACAATGAGAGTAGAGATACCAAGAGGATTAGGGGAGGGTGGGGGTAGAAAAAAGGAATCAATCACAAGGATCAATGTATACCGACCGCCTCCCAGGGGCATGAACAATGGAAAATTGGGTGAGGGGCAATGGAGGACAATGTAAGATATGAAAATAATAATCTATAATTTATGAAGGGTTCGTGAGGGAGGAAGGGTGGGCGGGGAGGGGGAAGAAATGGGGAGCTGATATCAGGGGCTCAAGTGGGAAGAGAATGCTTTGAAAATAATGATGGCAGCATATGTGCAAATGTGCTTGACACAATGGATGAATGTATGGATTGTGATAAGATATGTAAGAGTCCCCAATGAAAGTATTTAATGAAAAAAAGAAAACAGAAAAAAACTGTATCCTTACTATAAAATATCATGGATTATAAATATTCTCGAGCACACTTGTTTTTAGGAAAAGTTCTAAAAGTAGTATGACTAGGTCACATATAATTTTTCTACTCTCACCACATTTACCTACTTTTCTGAAAAGTTATACACACTTACAACACTATGAGAATTATAAGTGTTCATGTTTCCTCGTAATCTGTTAACACTGTTGTCACATAGTGAGTTTCTGTTAATGTACTGAGTAATAGGAAGTACCTTAAGTGGCGTTTAAGAATGGGTTATTGCTTTTATGTTTGCTCTGTTTCATCCAACCATATTTGTTGATGCCTGTGTTTTGGACTGTTATCAATTGCCTATAAATTTTTGACCTCAGTTTTGTAGACTCCAAACATTTTGATATCAAATATTCCCTAGCATGTGAATTGATAACATCTTAAAAATACTGATTCAATTTTGTTTTACTTTGTTCCCCCAATTTGTTCATTAATTTACTCATCTGACATTTTTTGTGCACTTGCTATGTGCCAGGCACCATTGTAGATTCTGTAAATATGCACCCCCACATTTTTTTTCAGTTTCCTTGTTGAAATGGTTTCTCTTGGTTTCCATTGATTTTCCTTCCTTTAGTTGTTGTCAACAGTGTCTTCCCTTTTATGTTGGGATGAGGCACCACTTCAGTTCTCGAGGGCAGTGCTGCTGCTAGAGTAACCTGTCTGCAATGCATGGTGGGCTTCGGTGTGAACATGGGCGTTCTCATATTGACGCCTGATTTCAAAGCACCATTTATTATGTTATGAGTCTTTTCTTCATTGTTTCCTCCCAGCAGTGTGGCTGCTTGCTTATTCTCTACTAACTGAGTTCAGTTCGGGTGCTGCAGTTCTCCTGCAGGGGGACAGACAGCCCTTTGCTCAATTCTTGATTGAGCGGTCACAGTGAACACCCACCGATGCTGCCAGCTCCAGAGAAGTCTCTGACTTAGTAAGTGGTGAGGAGACTTCCTGGTGGAGTCCCAGTGCCTAAAGTAGTCGCTCTCTGCCTTGGCTGCACCTTGGCATTGTCCAAGTTTTAAAGCATCCTGTGTTCTGTGCCAGTAGAATCAGGATCTCTGGGTGGCACTCACACCATGTGAGACTGAACTGGAGAACCACTGATTTAATGTGATAAATGGATGTGTGTGTGTGTGTGCGCGCGCGCGTGTGTGTGCATGCGCAGAGGCTGTATTCGTCCAAAGGACACGCTTTACGTGCAAATCTACAAATGATTTCCGTTTTCTCAGCCTTTCTTTTCTCTCTTGTGAAGTGAGACTAATAAAGCCTTGCCACTCTGAATTGGATTATGGGGGTTGTTAATAAATCAGACTTGGATAGAGCCTCTGCAATGGCTTTGGGAGGACTTTGGAGGTAGCTACAGTGTGAGATGCAGAAATGTTATTTGACCTCAGACACTGCATCCAATGGCTCGGTTGCCCTGGGTAGTATCTCTCTTTGAGCCATCTGTGATTATTTTCCATGTCGGGAGGTTTGTAGGTTCCTATCTACCCTCCTTCCTTTCGTCTCCCTTCCTGAAATCACTCTTGAGGCCCGCCCAGGGTGTAGCCACGGCCAAAAGACCTGGCAGGGGCACCCTTCCCATCTCCCTTCTGCCTTTGCTCAGCACACATGGCCCCACCCTGTGGTGCTGGCTGGCTGTGGACACAGCATAGGTGGGACACAACATAGGCAGGATGCCTCACCTGTCCAAGCCATAGTTTCACAATGTACCATGTGAACACACAAAGACCCCTTTCTAAGGCTCCTGTGAGAATCGGATGTTGCCATGGTGCTTGGCATTTGGCTGCTGCCCTGTAAATACTAATTATCCCTGACTGCATTAATCTGGAGTCAATAAAGCTATGCCTGTAAAAACTGACATATAAATAGTGAAGATGATGATTATCCATGTTTAAGTTCTCTCAACCCACTCAGCGCTTTATGTGGATGGTAGGCATGGAAGTAAATGCATGTCACTGTGTGGGTAATTGTGGAGAAGATCCAGGGCTTTGGTTCTCTCCTGGATTAAACCCCCACTGCTGAACTTGTCCTTTCCCTACCATTAACCTATGAGATCAGCGGTTCTCAACCTGGTGGCAACCCTTTTGGGAGTCGAATGACTCTTTCACAGGTGTTGCCCGATTCATAACAGTAGCAAAATTATAATTATGAAGTAGCAATGAAAATCATTTTATGGTTCGGGGTCACCACCACATGAGGAACTGAATTAAGAGGTCATGGCATTAGGAAGGTTGAGATCCACTGCACTAGATGATCTCTCTGCCTCCTCTTTCCTAACAAAGTCAGCTGAAGTAAACAGTGCTTTCCTAGTATCTGCAGGAACAATGATAACAGGAACCTGGCCTCGGAGTACAGCCTCCGTAGGCAGAATGTGTCTAGGTCAGGTTCATATTCTTCATTAGCTACAGAGCTAATGAGGATCGCCTCAAGATGTCAATCATGGAGGTTGAGGAGGAAGACTGTTGCCCCGTTCTTAGCCGACCTGGCACTGCAGGACATGGTCTGCAAGTGCTAACATGCCTTATCAGTAGCTGGTGGTGACTCCCACAGTTATGCACTCTCCTCTCTCGGTGCCTTTGGTGTGAGCTTCTGAGTGCTTCCTGGGGCTTCAGATGGTTACAGTGCACTCACTGTGGCCATGTGACTTGCTGGCCTGGCTTTGTCTCTACATAGGCCAGACCTGACTGAGTTGAGGAAGATGCTGGATTCTTGATCCTGGGATGGGTGAAAGGGTTAAGATGGGTGCTATCTGTGAGGTCCTGACCCCTGTGGAATGCAGTAAGCAGTGACAGGTGACAGGATGGCAGTGGCCTTGCAGCACTGGCCTCTGAGCAGGACTGTCAGGAACACTAGGCCCATTAAGCAAGATGCTGCACTCATATCAAGAGGGGCCAAGGGTCAGTCAGCATCAAATAGCCCTACTCCGGTGATGACTGGAATACGGGCTCCCCTGAGCTTTGGTGAGGCAGACAGGGTGGCCTTTCAAGTCTCCGCAGAAAAATCAGTGCCTTATTTCAAGCCTTGCATTTGCCCTTGTCAGTCTACCAGCTTTCACAACACAGCAGAGGCTTTGAGGAGTGAGGTCAGATTTTCATCCATCTTCTTCTCCACACAGGCCTTAGAAGACCGGGGCATTGTGGAGCTGCTCCTGACCTCAGACAACAAGGATGGCCTGAGCAAGGGTGTCGTCGATGGAGGTACTACATGGGGACCCAGCATGGAGTGATTGCCTGGATAGGCCTGTGCACAGCGTTAGATGCCTCACCTCCCATTTGCAAGGCATCGTCCCAGAAGCTTCAGTGTTAAAAGGATCAGAGAGTATAGTAGAGTTAGGGATGCAGAACCCAGCTCTGTAGACGGCGTCTCATGTCTGCCGATCCCACCTAACCCTTTAAACTCAGGACACTAGCAGTGCTCTGCTGGTGGGCAATCTGAGAAGGGCATTGGATATCCAGAAATAGGGCTGAGTAGATGAAGCACCAGAGTCCATAGCATAGTAGTCACACATTAGGCTGTGAACTGCATGGTCAGCAGTTCGAAACCACCGGCAGCTCTGAGGGCAAATGATTGGGCTTTCTACTCAAGTAAGCAGTGGCAGTCTCAGAAGCCCACAGGGGATCACTCGTGACTCGATGGCAGTGAGTTTGGTTGGGAGATGAAGCAGGAGGCTCTTTGGAGAATGGCTTACTCAGAGTCTGCCAAAATCCAAGGGATGCCAGCCCCTTTGTAGAGTCCGCGATGGCCTTCATAGGGGTGGGCATTGGTGAGAGGGTTGCCTTCCACCCCCAGCATCCGGATCTCTGTTCTGCTTTCTTCCTATTACACGGCATGGGTTGGCCAAGCTCAGGTTCGGGCTGACCATCCATCGCATGCCTGAACATCAAATTCTTCTTCCGGTCCTACTCAGGGTATTGCACTGGTTGACCCCTTCTGTCCCTTGTCACCAGGTCAGCTCTTCTTGCTGGGCTAGTCCTACCTACATATGAGCATGTCATTTCTCCCTTCTGAAAAATATCTGATTTTTGTGTCCAGAGATTGCTGTAGTTCTCTGCCCCGCTTTCCACCAAATCTTCCCCTCATTGACCATACTCAGTCCTTCTACCCAGGTCCCTTTTAAGCACCACAATCAGGCCATCACTCAACGTGTCACCAGTGAGCTCTACATGTAAGTGTGAATGCTTAGTGCTGACCACTGTGGGGCTGTCTGATTTGATTCAGCAGAGTCTGTAAATCTTTGTTCCTGGAAAGGTTCCTCCTTGGGCTGCCAGGACCCATAGGTTTCTATGTTTTCTACCTTTCACTTTCCTGGCCGCTCAATGGTTGACATTCTCCCTGGGTGGCTCCTCGGGATTCTCACTCAGATCCATGGTGCTAAGTACTTTCTATGTGCTGATGAGTCTGATTCTGTGTCTCTATCCTCAGGGACCTCTCACTGCAGGTGGATTTGCATAACCCTCTACCTCCTGTGGCATCTGAAGGATCACATGCTTAGCATTGAATGCTTGAAACATCCATCCTTTCTCTCTACACAAATCCTGTTCCCCTTGCACCCTCCCTTTTATGAGTAACCCACAGCTCCTTTTTTATTCCATTCATAATCGTCAGTCTGGCCTCCTTTCTTTCTGTACACCTGACATATAGCCCATCAGCAAAGTCTTTCAATGTATCTGGCCTCCAAATATGTTTTACCCCCTCATGTCTCTGGCATTTCTTACATGCATTATTACAGAAACTTTTAAATTAACTCCACCCCCTTTCTTTTACTGCTACAAGTTGTTCTCAGCATTGCAGCCAGTGGATGCCTTAAATGTAGTTTGATCATCTCATCTTTGCTTAACGGCCAACTGCTCTCTGCTTTGTTGTGCACAGTGAGAGTCCAGGTTGTGAGAATGACCAGGCAGGCCTGCACCCAGCCCCTGTGACCCTGTGGGCCACCCCTGCTGCCCGCTTGACTGCCCCTCTCTTTCTTTTGCACTTGAGCTTAACAGACAAAAAAGAACCCTGTCTTTTTCTCGTATGCTCCCTTCTCTGACCAACTCCTCCTCCAATCACTCCTGCTCCGGCACTCCCAGTCCTTTGAAGAAACATCGTGCTTGATGTTTCTTCAAAGCATGTATTACCCCGAAGATTCCATGTAGTTTATTTTACTTAGCTTCCTCTCCATAGAAGACAGTTCCACAGGGCTTGGGTTTGTCTCATTCGGACTGTGTTCTTGTCTGAACAGTCTGTTGGCTGACTGGATGAAGCAAGGAATGAGAGGCTCCATCAGGGACTGCCAGCCCAGCCCTGCGTGGTCTCCAGTACTGGTGCTGCTCTGTGCTAGCACAGCTGCTCTGTTTCCTTTGCGCATCCCTCCCTAGACTGAGCTGCTTGAAAGAAGGGACCTTTCTTTATCTCTGTGTCCCTTGAACAGTGCCTGGTGTGTGGTTGGCACACGGTATAGTACCGTTGAATGAACACGGAGAAGCAGGGCCCTTGTCCTCTGGCAGAGCTAGTTAGCCAGGGGGACCGGATTTCCCATCTCTGATGAGACTGCGTGGATGTTGAGAAGGAACTTGGCTCTTCCGAACGAAATGCTTCCCATTCTTTCCACACGGTGGCACTGCAGCCTCTGCTTTGTTAGAGACTCCAAGGGCTGCTCTAGCACAGGTTCCGTGCATTGGCCACCAGTAATTAAAGACCTCCTGTGGATGCTGGGGTCCTCCATAGGAAACTTGTATTCTCACTCTCCTCTCGCTTTCATGGCAGACCCACTGCACCTGGAGGTTCTCTGGTCCCAGAGCGCCACATCTGCTACCTGCTGCACAGGATGGTGCCTGAAAGTTAGTTCAAGTTGTAATTTAAATAATACACTTTAAGGGTCTAAATGTAGTGTAGTAAAAATGTACTCATAAAAACCAAAAATATAGCATGGCTCACTGTCTTCGGGCCTCACTCCTCAGAAATTAACCACATTAAACTCTTCAGCTTTTTCTTCTGGTCTTTCCCTTCACCTTTCTAAATCAGATGCGCATTACAAGGGGGCTTCAAGAAGTCCACGATAAAGTTGAACCACAACATCAAGAATTGGCCTGGGAACCTTTTGACGCCCCCCTTGTCTTTGTCCATCAAAAATCCCATCTGTCCACTTTGTATGCAATTGAGGGTTTAGTTCTTTCTTTTTCTTTCCTCACTCTCATCCCCCCAGTGTCCTCTCCATAGAGCTGTTTCTCCGTTGTGGTTTCTTTTCTCATCCCTTCCCCCTTTTAAAAGACAGATGAAGCCATTGCTGTGGAGTCAGCTCTGACTCGTGGCCATCCCATGTTTGCCAGAATAGAACTGTGCTCAGCAGGGTTTCCCACACAATGGCCTACTTTCCCACACCGTGAGAGCAATCAATGGGCAGTGTCTACATAATAGTTAAGTACATTTTCTTCACTGCTGAATGGAGGAATAGATTAGAGTAAGGCTTACCCCTTAAACCTTTGCATTCTGGTACTTTATATTAGTAGGGTGCCCTTGACAGATATTCCTGTTCAAGGAGCCACATGCATCCTGCCAACTACAGGTAGTTTCATTTCAGACAGGGCTTCCGTCTTCAGGGGTGTGTGCTTCAAGGTGGGTGGTTCTCCTGTGAAGGCAGCGGAGGTCAGTGACTCTGTAGAACACCAGGTCAGCTGTCCGATGGGCCTGGCATTGCATTCCTAGTGTGATGTTGACCAGTTGTCATTTAACCTCCTCAGCCACGGCCATTGCATTTCGGTTTTTAGTCAGTTGCCAGTCAGGCATTTATGTCTCTTAGAGGAGTGTTGGCATGGGTTGGGAGTGCTGGGATGTTGGATACTTAGCCTACAACATTCCACCTCTATCCCTGAAGGCCAGGCTGGTGCATGCCAGAGAGATAGGAGACTGGACTAAACAGGCAGGGGCTCTAATAGTGTGCTCTCAAGCTGGGACAGACCCAGAGGCCACAGCGACAGGCCAAGCCCAGCATATTTTCTTGAGCTCACATTTCACGAATGGGAGGTCATTCAGATGAACACAGTGTGGCATTAAATAAAAAACTATGCCTCACTGAAGAAATGAGATGGGAATGAGGGATTTCCTCATGTAGATGGTTGCCTGTGCTAGATGCTTGAGTGGAAGGAGCACAGCAGCATCTGGGCGCACAGAAGAGTAACTAGCAGGGATGCTCACTCCTGTGCATAGTATTAGAGTTCATCAAGATCACCTGCCCGGCGAGTGACGGCTATGGAAGGCCTGGGCTGAACGGTGGGGCTTCTGAGATGAGAAGATGCATCTTCTGAGCTTTGAGAAAGCAATTCCTACCCGGAGATGGGAATCAATGCCATCAGTTAGGCGGGAGGAGTGAGAGTGCTTGGCTGAATTCAGTCATCGTCTGGTCTTAAGATGCTGTTTTATTTCTCCTTTCCCTTCACAGTGCTGGCCACCATTAACTTACAGTCACAAAATGAACTAAATTTACTAACCACATTTCTCTTAAATGCCCAGGTAAGTTTAACGGAAGGGCAGCAGCTGTCCTGCTCAGCATGAATGCATAGGTTCTTGCCATGCTCAAAGGAGCCCCCTCATTGTGCACGGGCGCACGCCAGAGGGATGGGAAGCTCTTGGGTGCTTTCACTGTGCATAGGGTCCATGGATGGGGAAGGCAGATTGGGAGGTTCTTCCATCCTTTCTTTTTTAAAAGCATTTTTGAACAATTTCATTGACATATAATTCACATGTCATTCAATTCAATAGTTTAAACCTATTTGAAAAGTTGTGCAATCACCACAATCAGTTAGAACATTTTATTCTTCCTTGGACTCCTTATCAGCTCTCCATTACCCTGCCATAACTCAAGAACTGACTAGCCCAGTTATTGTCTCTGTAAACTTACCGATCCTGGATTTCCTGTAAAGGAAAACATACAAAACCAAAAAGGATAGCCAAACAAAACAGGAAGAAAAAAAACCCCACACCCAATAACAAAATGAATCAGAGGACAATCTCAGTTGAAAAGAATGAAAAACTAAAACATGTTTAAAATGAGTCAAAAGGGAGAACAATTGATAAGGTATCAACTTTGAACCTAACTATATTTGAATCAGTGCACTTGTCAATGCACTCTGTCTGATAGCAAAGCTATTCACATCCTTGGTCAATGGTCTGAGGGAATTTACCAGAGGCTTAATCCATGTGGGGACCTTGCAAATGGAATTTGGGCTTTCTCTGTCATTCATAGCCTTCTGCAAACTTGGTGTTCATCATTTTAGCTCTAATATGGTTCCTTCTTCTGTTCTTGGATTTTATTATTTACAATCCTTAGATCACACAGGCCCTAGTTTTTTTTGTTTTTGTTTTTTCGAGTGATTTTTCTATGTGCTCCTGGGAAAGGGGACAGGTTGAAGCTATTTTGAGGTGCTGCTGAGTAAGCTGAATGTGATTGCTTGCCTCTTAAAAAACAAAATAAATGGAAGCATTCATGAATGGACTTTTCTAGACTTGTTCTCATTTCCCCCCAGTTACTGAAGGCAGAAACACTTCCCTCCCCATAATATATTTGGTCTGAGTCCATTTGATGGAAATTTATAGCTCAATCTCTTTCTGATGGATTTCTTTTCTCTCAGTCTGAGTGTCTCTCTTAAGGATATAGATGTGATCTGGGCCAAGGCACCTCCAGTCCATTCAGAGTCTGTTCCCGGAACTGCAAGGCCACATCAGTCTCCCTCAGATGATGAGCATCCCCATTCACTCCTTGTTGCATGTAGACATTGACCCTGGACTTACTGTGGAACTGCTGGAGTGTGTTATCAACCATAGCAAACCAGACACCTAGAACAGTTCTGGGGATCATTTTCCAAACCGGAGGATACTTTTAGATCACAGGTAGTACCACGAGATATGCCCACTCACTATAGCAGCGCCAACCAGTGTAGGACAAGGGCCATGTGCATATGGAAGAACTGGGATTTACAGGGAATTAGAGAGGCACCCAGAGCAGCCAGGATGTTTCCAAGAGGAGACGAGATAGAATCTGGAACTTTCGTCAGGAAGGTCTTTGGAGAGAGAATGGATACAGCAGTCTTCATGGAGTGACCTTCTTGCCTTCCCACCTTCGCTTTCGACTGCACTCTCAGTGTGTGTCACAGATGGTGCCAGGTCCTGCAATACTACAGTGAACAAGGCCAAAGGGCCCCTGCGCTTCTGGTGTTATAATCAACTTGGAAAGGAGCTGATTAAGTGAATGATACATGGATGATTAATGCTGAGTAAGTGATTGCAAAATGAACTCAAAAGAACTATACAAGTGGCTTCAAAGAGAAGCAGAGGATGCTGGGAACTTTCCCTACACCTACTCTGCTACTGGCTGCATGACCTTGGGCAAGTTCCTTTACCTCCTGGTGCTTCCCTTTCCTCGATGGTAAAGTGGGAATAACACTAGTGTTGACTCATAGGATTATTTGAGGATTCAACGTGGTAATATTTGGAAATCACTTAGGATAGGAGATGATGTCAGAGCTCTGGTGGCACTGTGGGTAAGGTGTGGGCAAGGGTGTTGGTGATTTAAACTCACCAGGTGCTCCACAGGAGAAAGATGAGGTAACCTGCTCCCCATGAAGAGCGACACTCTCCAAAGCCTTCCACGGGGGTTGCTGTGAGTCAACTGTAACTCCATAGCAGTGGCTGGTCAAGAAGCTGATGTCAGGGATCCAGCTGACAGCAGCTTCCTGCTGGCTCTTTATCTTTGGAAAAGTCGTCACATCTTTGCCTTCTGAGGCCATGCTGTACTATTGATGGAAAGGTTCCATTTTCTGGTCTTCAGTTCAGTGATGTCTGAGGTATCAACGATAAAATCATCCTCAAGGAAAGGGACTTTCAGATACTTCCCTTGAAGGCGTGAACAATCCAGCCCCCTCTGCTCGCCCCTTGGGAGACTCAGTAGCGTCGTGTCAGTCATTGTCCACACCAGGGCTATGCCCAGTGAAGAAGATCATCGGCGTGGATGTTGCTCTGACACTTCTGAGGTGCCACCCACTGTATGAAGTGCTCTGTGTGCCGTGTCTCCTTGCCTCGTCTCCACACTATTTACACAGGGTACAGTCCTTATGGTTTTACCATTAAAATGAACAGGCGCTGAGAGTAAGGTCAGGCAGCTTGTGAAAGCTACACCCAGGAATAGGAGAGGAAATCTTACAGCAAAATCTTGTTATCGAGTTCTATCTTAATCACAGTATATAGGGACCGGGCCACTGGTCACAGTGTACAGGGACTGGATGCCACCTCCGTGCATCCTGGTATCTTGAAGCCTGACAATGCATTCCTGTTAGTGGGGACTACTAAGAATCTACTTCTTAGTAGTGACTGAAAATTGGTACTGTATGTCCCTTTCCTGGGACGTAGATAGTTTGAGAAGAAAACCAAGCCATTAGTCTTGCTGAAGATATTATTGTGATGACAACAGCCTTTACCTGGATATGACGGGTGCCTTCTACTAAACGGACAGTAGGTTTGCCCATCACATTGGATCTGCTCACTAGAGTTTTGGCACTCTTCACACAGTGGCCCTCCAAATATAGTGGAGAAGTCATTGATGCATGGTCAGGGAGGGAATAAGTAAGAATGCTCAGTCAAAAACAGAAATGCCAGCATGAGTCCGCCTGCCTCTCCCCATGAGCTCCGGTGCTGCTCACAAACATGGCTAGGTAGGGTGTGGTCTTCGTAATGATTTATGTATCCTTGGTACAATTGTGTTCCAAAGTAAGAATTCAAATTAATACTGAAGATTCACTGAGTGTCCCAGCCCAGCTATGAATCCAGAACCTGGACGTGGGATGGTTGAGTTATAAGGCCCCGAGCAATGGCTCAGTTCTACCCATCTTCCATTTAAGCCAGTGTGCAGTGGGTCCACCCCTCTGCCTCTTCCAGATAAATAAAGGAAAACAGCACATGAGGGCTGTGTATCCCACAGGCCATGTAGACACTGACTGATGCTGAATACAGTTTCTCCTGCCCCGGCTTGAAAGCAAATCAGAGTAGGAAAAGACACAGAGCTGAATTCCAAGAAAAGCCTAAGTAGACAGAAACCACTGCTTTCGTGGTCACATCATGTGCAACAGTAACGCCACTTTCAATCCCAACATCTCTTATTGCAACTCTAGTGGCCTCTTGCACATGACACAAGCAGGGGAGACTGGGGACCAGCCACTGGAGATGCACGTGGCTCTGTTTCCAGTGTCCTCTATGGCAGGTGTGTGAGCCCAGGGAAGAGCTGGGGGACAGAGTCTCCAGACCCCTCCAGGAAGGGCCCCACCTGTATGTGTAACTTTATATCTTGTGCCCAGGGACTTCAGCCCAAGATGGTGATGGAGTACTGGACTGGCTGGTTTGACTCGTGGGGTGGCCCTCACAACATCTTGGATTCTTCTGGTGAGTGCTCTGCAGTCTCTGGAGCCAGGATGCTTGTTTCAAATAATCCACCACTTGATAGAAACTAGGTGTAGCCTGCAAGACTCCTGGGCTCTATGAATGCGGTGATGAGCCCTTGAAACGCCAGTGACTTGTATTTGAAGTGAATTAAAATGCAAACTTCTAACTTACGCAATGAGTGCCTATTGTACACATTTATAGAATACAAAAAAGATACGAAGAGGTAAAAGTTGCAGAGCTCTGAGGAAGCCATTGATGATCAGTCCCAGGCACCTCTCTGTGTCTCCCTATTCACGACCTGTGCTCTTGCTCAGGGAAGACAGGCTGTTGGCACATTGGACAGGACCTCGCTTCTGCCAGTCAATGGTGGATGATGACCTCTCTTTAAACTTTCAAATGTAGATTTGCATCATTGTTTTAAGGAATACAAAGAAGCTCCATCGTTTTGATAACTCTGGTGTCATTTACTTATTCCATCTCTTCTCGATGGACCACTTAGGTTGCTTCCCGTGGTCACCATCGAACATCCCCTTTAACATCTCTCTCATCCAACTCCCTTGTCATTGGTTCTTAGACGTAGAACTGGTAGATAGATGCTGTTCTGAAATCTAATGGCTGCACTGCCCTTCAGAAAGGCTCTAGATATTGCTACTCACCATGATTGAATGTGAGTCCCACTCCCCACCCATGGATTCATCAACATTGCGTATGAAAAATATTTTTAATATTTCCCAGTTGGGTAAGGTTATTGCTTCATGTGTATGTCTTTGGTTAGGGAGGGCTGTTTTTCTTGTTCACAACCACATGTTCATTAGTCATTGTATTCTTCTTGCAGGTATCTTCCTCTCATTAGTCATGTTTCAATACAAGCAGCATTGGGGGGGGAGGTGTCAGAATTACACAAAGGGGCTTCAGCAAGTTGGTGGGAAAATTTTGTTGTCTTTTAATCCCCCAAGGCTACTATTTCTGAACCCACCCCCCATCTGTTACTGTAAGTGCTCTGTTGTGTTTTCCTAGCTGATGCCCACAGTGGGGAGCCCCTGGCCAAGGTGGGGTGGGGGCAGCCTGGGCTGCAGGTTCTCTACCACACACTAAGTGGGGAGTTGACGGTGACATCAGAAACAATGAGCAGGCTCGAGTGCTGTGGGTCATTGTTCGGGGGTCATTTCTCCTTCTCCTTCCCTGATTGAGAATTTGATGGGGTTGAACTGGGGACAAGATTGGGAAGTACGAGGCTCCTGCAGAGGCTCTAACTTGTCCGGAACCCCAACTGCTCTGCACACTGCCTTGCTTTTCTACCTACAGAGGTTTTAAAAACCGTGTCTGCCATCATCTATGCTGGCTCCTCCATCAACCTCTACATGTTCCATGGAGGGACCAACTTTGGCTTCATCAACGGAGCCATGCATTTTAACGAATACAAGTCCGATGTCACCAGCTATGGCAAGTACTGATTAGCAACCCCCCTTGCAGATCCCCCCAACCCTTGTGTGTCTGGGGCTTGTCAATGAGTCCTTACGGGATGCCTTCTGGTCCTTCCATGTGTTTATGTATAAAGCACCTGAAGAAGTCCCAGCGGCACAGTGGTAATGTGCTCAGTGGCTAGCCAAGAGAGCCAAGGTTTGAACTCATTAGCCACCCCACAGGAGAGAGATAGGGCCGTCTGCTTCGCTAACAGTCCCTAGGGGGCTGTTTTAGCCTGTCCTAGCAAGTTGCTTTGAGTCAGACTGGACTCGGTGGTGGCACCTGATGAGGTGGAAGTGTGTGTGGATGGTAACCTCTAGGTATCCAGAGAGAGTACTTGGGGCCTGACGCCTGCCCACGGTGTGTTTGTGCACTAGCTCCTCTGCTGAGATGCCTCTTCACAAACTGCCTAGAGGACCGAGAGGAGTTATGCCAGAACATACAGAGGGGGATTCCTCTAGGGGAAGGCAGCCTCTTCTCCCATCTCTGGACCTTGAGATAGGGTGACTGTGGCCTTTGAAGATTGGGCATCTCCAGAGGTAGGAAAGGCTCCTTGTTTTTAACTACCTGTGGCTAGAAAGTTAGGGAAGACTGTGATCCTGGGCAGAGACCCTCATAGTGATGGTGTCCTGACTAAATGACCCCGCTGAAGTGCCCTGTCTCCAGAATCGCGGAGGGCCCTGCATACTACCCTGGCCTCTCTTCGTTCCTCTTGCCCCCACAAGAGCGGCCGTGGGTCTTGTGTGACCGGTGCTGGGCCCTCGGTGTCTTGCAGATTATGACGCAGTTCTGACAGAGGCTGGAGACTACACAGCCAAGTACTTCAAGCTTCGCGAGTTTTTTGGCTCCCTCTCAGGTACCCAGCAAACAGCCAGCTCCAGGACCAACGGGGGTCCTTGCTTTCGCTTCCAGACTGGAAAGAGTTACTTCCTCCCTTTTGTCCCCTCAATCCCAGTGGGTTTGTGTGTAGAAGGGTCCTAGGTAAGGCGAAGGAAACTAAATGCCTTCCACACAGTTGGTGTTCCGCTAGCTTCGGCAGTGTGATTTAGGTGTAGAGAGTTCAGCCATATAGGAAAGCTCCTCCCCACACCTCACCCCCCAACATTCCTTTCCTAGATGTGTTCTGCGAAGGGGCCTTCTTCCTATTGGCTCTCAGGTAAAGAGCAGGCTGAGCCCATGGATCAGAACCGGGGATTGAGTAGGTGGAGGGTGGAGGGGGCAGTGACCCTTTCAGGTCCTTAGGAGATGGCCCTGTGGTCCCTTTGTATTTCAGGTTCCCCACTGCCCCTGCCACCTGACCTTCTGCCTAAGACCACCTATGAGCCACTGATGCCAGCATATTACCTGTCCCTGTGGGATGTCCTGAAGTACCTGGGGGAGGTAAGCACCACTGGCCATGAGCAAGGGCCAGTCGGTGAGCAGGAAAAGGAAGTTTGGCTGAAGCCAGACATGGCCCAGCGGGTGGTGTCGGGAAGCAGGACACCTCATTCTGGAAAGCTCTCAGGACTCCAGACAGAGGAGTGTACCATCTCATGCTGGAGTATGAAGTGGGGAGGAGAAACAGGGCTTGCCCACCATAGGGGTCACCCAGCAGGTATTGCCCTTCTTCTTGGTAATGGGACAGGTGGAGGGTGGTGGGCAGCAGGAGCAGCCTGCTCCTTTGAGGGTCACACTTCCCACATAGAGGGGCTGTGCACACAAGTGACAGTGGATCTGTGTGGGATTCAAGTCCCACCCCACTGTTGTGTATTTCATGCCCTTTATCCCCCTGACTGCAGATCTGTGGACTTAGTATAATCAGAGCTGGGAGCCAGCTGGATAGACTGGCTCCCCATGTTTGAGTAAGGAGGCCCACAGGATTGAGTAATGAGAAGTCAAAATAGAAGAAATAAAGTGGTGAGCGACCCGACTCCCCCCAGTCCCCAGGAAGGTTCCAGGTGAGGCTGCTGGCTTCGTTCTCTGCAGCCTGGCTCTGTCTCTTATGCGTAGCCTATCAAGTCTGAGAAGCCAGTCAACATGGAGAACCTGCCTGTGAATGATGGGAATGGTCAGTCCTTTGGATACACGCTGTACGAGACCAACATCGCCTCCTCTGGTGTCCTCAGTGGTCTTGTGCGCGACCGGGGACAGGTAGGGGTGTCTTCGCTTAGCGCTCATTACCTTCTGTAGTGATTAACCTTGAAATATGCCCAGCGGTGAGCTCTGTAACCGGTCAGGGACCTCACTGTACCAGGGAGTCAAAAGGGCCCATCACAGTCACCCAAACAGCCTGTTCTGCTTGACTCGTGTGTGTTCGGTGTCCAGCCAACCTCCTCTCCGTGCATGCACGCCCATGCTGACCTCTCCCTGGGTCGAATCAAGATCCCTCCTGCTCATCTCTCACTTCCTACTGACCCGCGGTGCTTTCTGTGTGTCTTTGTTGGCAGGTGTTTGTGAATACAGTGTCCATAGGCTACTTGGACTACAACAAGAAGCAGATCAATATACCCTTGGTTCAGGTGTGTTGTCCCAGGAAGCTGGGGAAAGGCTGCACTGGCCGCTTTCCACTGGGTCAGGAGGGCAATTGGAGTGAGGGGCGGGGATGGAGGTGGGGTGGGGGGGACATGGAGCAAATTTGCTAGGAGCCAAAGGGGAAACTGAGATGGCTAGAGGATTCTGAAGCACGGACTGCAGGGTGAGACAGCACCAGGGCGTTGCTTTCGGCTCAGCTGGACTCCTTCCTATCTAGCCTCGGGGCTCAGGGGAGCCCTGGGCTTCCGCAATAGAAGCCAGGAGTTTTATCTGTGACCTTTTGGTTGGGAAATCAGGCAATCGTTATGGGCCACTATGTTCCTGGCAGGGCTACACGGTGCTGAGGATCTTGGTGGAGAATCGTGGGCGTGTCAACTACGGGGAAAATATCGATGACCAGCGCAAAGGTGGGTCAGAACCCGGGTTGGGATAAGAATGCTAGCAACCCCATGCGTGGTTATTTGTTTAAATCAGGGTCTGAGCAGGCCTTGGCAGTCTCCTGGGGCCAACTGGCATGGCAGAGGCCCTGTGGAGTGAGGTAGGGCTGTAGTGGCTCATTTGGGGTGGGGCTCTGAAGGCTGGCAGTGACCCATTTTTAAAGCCAGGCGAGTGAGACCAGACATGCATGGCTGCATTTTGACCATTTCCCTAGCTGTGCATTGGCCCTTGTGCTCATTCTGGACACACGGGGACAGCCAGCCCCATCTTTCCATTTCTCCTGGGGCCATAGTCTGCTCTACCAGGAACTGCTTGCTTGGACCGTGGGTGTGAGTGTTAAGGAAGGGCAAGGGAACCTTGTCTTCTTGAGTCCCCATATTGAAGTTTCTTCTTGAGCTGTCCCTGGAAGCCCACAGAAGATTCCAGCTGTGAGGGAGAGGAGGAGGCAACACCTTCCATAAACAAAATGCTCCTTGAATGACATGACCCGCCATTCTTGTTCTCTCCTCTCCTTTTGGTGGGGCTGTCTGAATGCAGTCAGACCCAGTACATTCAGACAGGATAAGTCACACGGTGGCAAGAAACACAAGGGACGTCTCAACTCCCTCAAGGCTTTACCTTTCGAATGAATGCACATCTTTTTGGTAAAAATCCCAGCAAGCTCCAAGCAGAGGCTTTTAGAAAACATTCTGGTCACCTTCCAGGGAAGCAGGGTGGCCCAGTTGTTGGGGCGTCCTGGGTCCTGAGGTTCCAACTTTTCCAGAGGCCCTTAGATGTCCGCCAGCATTGCCAGCTCACCTTCCTTCCCCGAAACGGTTCCCCAGTGTCGCTCTCCGAGTCTCAGCCTCATCCCCAGCTGGCTTTCTTCAGGCCTACTTTTATAGCCTTGGTTCTGGAGTTTGGAAGGGATGCCTAGCATGACCCTTGTTCCAAGTCAATGCTGCCCAGGTCCTTGGTCAAGGTGTGTCCTAGCCCCTCACAGGCATGCCCATGCTCTGCGTTATGATCACAGACCTCCTTTCAGAAGAATAGCGTGCCTCCTGCCACACTGCGTCCCACAACTTACGTGCATCTTCAGACCCTATGAATCCAAATCTCTTCTCTGGCACCTCAGCACCGCCATGATCAAGAGAACCATTCTGGACCTAACCAAGCTGACCATCCATCAAGGCAATAATTAACTGATACTTGGCATTGTGGTTATGCGTTGGGCTGCCAACTGCAAGGTTGGCAGTTTGAAACCACCCACCAGAGGCTCCCAGGGAGTAAGTCATGACTTTCTACTCCCATAAACACTTCTAGTCTTAGAAACTCATAAGGGCAGTTCTACCCTGTCCTATAGAGTCACAATGAGTCAGTATTGATTGACTCAGTAGCAGTGAGTCAAGTATCAGAGTATCACAGCTGATACTTAAATGATATTGGCAACTGTTCGCAATTTAACTGCTTTTACAATGTTTCTGACCCTAATTCCTGTAGACTATTTCGGATGGAGTTGTTAGGACTATTTAGACTGAGATGCTGCGTGTACTGCTCCTTGAAGCTAGGGAGCAGTATATCCTTGAAGCTAGGGTGATATCTCGCTCAGCTACCCTTTGGCCTCATTATCTACTGTGTTAGAATTCACTGGCCCCAGAATCTAGCAGGTTGCTCTCACTACAGTCTCACGGTCTCACTGACATCCTCCCTGAAGTATTAGGCTCTGTTACTGCCCTCTCTTGTGTCCCTTCCTTATAGCAAATCCTTAGCTATAATCGGAAAAACATTGGTATTAATCATTCTCAAATCCTTTGGAATGTGTAGGGAAGGTCTGATGCCAAATGAAGAGTTTCTTAGGTACTATGAACTCCAGGAAAAATACCACCAAAGTGTTCTGGAAACTTCCCGTATAGGTAAGGGGACCAGATTTTAACATTGGTAAAGCGGGACACCATTGATAAAACTCATATCCTGGCGAAATAGCCACATGGCAGCTGAAAAGCGTAGACCCTAGCTTGTTGTGCATTCTTTCCAAAAATCGGGACTTTTTAAAAACTCCACGGGACGTGGGAAAAATTGTTCAAAATCAGGACTGTCCTGCCAGAAGCAGGACGTCTGGTCACCTGATGTATAGGGCCCTGGCAGTACTGGCCAGTGTCTCCCCCCACACCCCAAGCCCCTGCCCTCCTGCAACCCCACCACAGCCTTCCTCATGTTCCCTTGCCTCCTTGCCACAGGTTTAATTGGAGACCTCTACCTAGATGGCTTGCCCCTGAAAAAGTTTAGAATCTATAGCCTGGATATGAAAAAGAGCTTCTTTCAGAAGTAAGTGCCTGTCTGGACCAGGGTGTTGGCTCCCAGGGGAAATGCATGGATAGCCAGAATGCCCTGGGGGCTCGCCAGCCTCACCCACTTCTCCAGATCAGAAATTCACTGGAAGGTGACTTTCCTAAGCAGGGGCAGCAGGAGTGCTTTCCTGCTGGAGGATTTTCCATTATGCATCTTGCTGTCCTCCATGTGCCCCCACTTTGGAAGTAGGTCCATGAGTGCTATAGAAGTAGATGTAGAACTGGGGCCAGGGGGCTCCCATCCTGTTTGTACCCCCACTCTGTCCCTAGGTTTGACATCAACAGGTGGAGCTCTGTCCCAGAAGTACCTACGTCCCCTGCTTTCTTCTTGTTTGGCTTGTCAGTTGGCCCCTCCCCTGCTGACACCTTTCTGAAGCTGGAGGTTTGTAAGCCACCCTTCCCTACCAGGGCTCACCTGTCTCCCACCCCAGGATCCTCAACCAGAAGGCCTCTTGTTTGTCCTTGACTGGCATCCTTGACAGTGACCTGTCAAGTGGTCTCCCTGCCTCTATGTTGCCCTTTCAGAACACTGGGACCCCCTGAGTTGGGGGAGCTCAATGCCAACCCCCTGGTACCTGGTGGGGCTACTGCCAGGATCTGGTTCTTACTCCAGCATGAGTGTGGGTGCCATACCTCAGGGGTTTGGGGCTAATGGAAATGGGGATGAGAGTGCCCAAAACCCCCTTTTCTAGCTCTTGTGCCAGCAAGACTTCACTCCCCATGGTATCCCGGGAAAGAGAGAAGCATGGGAGGCCCTCGGCACACTGTCTCTGCCTTCACATGTGATGTTAAAATTTGGTGGCTTTCGTGGTCAACTAACTTCACCCTACTCTACCTGTAGGGCTGGGAAAAGGGCGTTGTATTCATTAATGGCCAAAACCTCGGGCGATACTGGAACATTGGACCCCAGGAGACCCTCTATCTTCCAGGAGCCTGGTTGGACCCAGGTAACAACCAGGTGAGAACCTGTCCAGTCTCTTTCCCTTTGCCCATGCCCGCCCCCCCCTCCCCGCGCTGGCTTTCCCACAGACGGGAGAAGCCAGAAGGCTGGCAGGTGTAGTGGCACAAGTGACACCGTGGCCCCAGGATGTGTCACTATGCCCTCACCTTTTGGCTTCCCAGCCTGGGAGGGATGCTGTGTCTCTTCTGACCACATACATATATTTCTAAATGTGAGGCCCCATGTGGATTGGTACTTGTGAGGAAACCCCAGGTCAGTGGAAGATTAGTCCGTTCTGTGCGGCTCATTCTTATGCCTGCCCTGGTGCTGGTAGTTGCTGCCTCTAAAGACTAGTTAGGGCAGGTGAGTGGGCAGATGCATCATCATTTTCCCAGGTTCAGCTGAACTCTTGATCCCTGCTCCTTCGGGCGTGGCTCTCCAGCCCTCTCCATCACCAGCACCCTGAGGGAGGCTTCCTTAGGCCTCTGTGTGGTGCCTCACTTACCTGGCTTTGTCAGGACAGAGCCCACCACGCTTTCTTTCCCAGGTCATTGTGTTCGAGGAGAAGATGGCAGGCCCGATGATCCAGGCCGTGGAAACACCTCACCTAGGCAGGAACCAGTACATTGACTAGGGGCCGCCCGGCACCCTCCTGCTGACCAGAGGGCAGAAGAGAGCGCCTTCACACCCTCTCCTGGAGGCTAGCGTTCTCAGGTAGTAGCTGCAGCGTTGGCTGGCTCCATCTCAACCTGCTGCCTCCACTCCACAGCCTGGGGGACTGAAGAAAGGGGGTGTGAGTGAGGCAAGGGGGGCCCTTTCATACCTTGGTGGTTTGTAGTGGTGATGCTTATCCTAAACCTCTTACCTTCTGGATGAAGACCAAGTCATGTCCCTGCAGGCCTGGGGACTTGAATCAGAGCATGTGTGGTGAGTGCCTACAAATGAGGCCATGCGGATGAGTTGGGCATACGCTCCTGGCTCACAGCTCACACACACATGCTCCTCAAATGCAGTCTTCGCAACTGGATTTTGCCACACTTCCGTTCTGCAACCGTGGGGTTGAGGATAAGGGAGGAATGGGCATCGTGCCAGTGCTGACTCCCTTTCTTCTTCGAAACCCCACCCACTTTCTTCCCTGAGGTTCTGGACGACACCTGTTTGAGAGGCACACGCCTGCTTGTTCCCGTTCTAACTTTTAAAATCAGGAGGAGAAACCCAAACTTCAGAGGCAAAAATACCCAGCCACGTTTTTTTCCTGATTAGAGTTTGTCCCCCCCACCCCCCAACTTTGCTTAATGAGAATAAATGAAGCATCGACTGAGGAGGAAATAAAGACTCTACAGGACTGACTCCCAATATCTGAACACTTGGGATACTCAGCTGACATTGGCTAGGGAGCCTCCATGGAATGTTGGGGTAGCCATGGTCGGCAGGCCCATTAATGCCTGTTCTGACCACCAAACTTCACTCTATCCCCTCTTCCCCCTGTAACCAGTCCGCTAGGGAGGCAGAAACTGCTACACCATCTCCTGCTCCAGTTTGAGGGGCTCGCTCTAGGGATCAAGTCCAAGAAGTCGGTACAAGCTCTTTGCTGTGAATTGCAATAAAGTCATCGAGCTAACCAAAGCCTCCTGGGTGAAATGTCTTGGATCGCATCGGAGGGTGATTAGCTAGAGGAGGGTGGACACACATTGAGCCCAGCTGTTGGATCTAGAAACTGACTGCTGAGCCCTGCTCCTGGCTCACTGGGCTCTCCTGACCTCACCTCCCTTTGCAGTGGTACTGTGGTTTGGAGGTGACTGTCATAGGAGAAGTGATAGACGAATCCATTCTAGGCACTAGGGAGCCGGGGGACAAGAACATGTTAGACAGAAAGAGCTGCGGCAACTCCAGTAAGTGGATTTTTCCATACAAATGACATTGCTGTCTATTGTCACAAACAACCGGCCTTCAGTGATGGTCTAAGTCCAGTTAACAGACACCTTCCCAGGCCTGTGCCCATAGCAGTCAATAAAAGATCGCATAGAGTGGGAGGGAGGGGAAAAAATGAGGAGCTGATACCAAGGGCTCAAGTAGAAAGCAAATGTTTTGAGAATGATGAGGGAAACAAATGTACAAAAGTGCTTGACACAATGGATGGATGTGTGGATTGTGATAAGAGTTGTACAAGCCCACAATAAAATGATTTAATTATTTTAAAAAAAAGATCGCATAGGAATAGAGTGGGCCGTGTGGGACTCTCAGAGGGCCCACGGGCTGTCCCTTCTGTGTTTTGCTGAGGAAAATGTCCCCTCCCCTGCAGGCACTAGTAAGCACTGAGTAACGTCAGGGACGGAGAGTCACAACTGGCCCAACTATCCCTCAATGGGTCCGGAAATGGCGCTACCCACCAGTCTTGGATAGTACCTGGGAGCAAGGTGGGGCAGAGTCTCCAATTGTGTCTGAACTTACAAATTCTTCTTGGAATTAATAGCAGAACCAAGATGTCATTCAGGGCGGGGACAGGGCAGCTCCGCCTTATTTTCCAGCAGAGAGCTGCTGCTACAAGGGTGCAGGTAAGTTGGCTTCTGTGGCGGTAGTTCTGCTGTGACACAGAACCGGAATTTCAAGGAACCTTGCGATGACTCTGTTCACTGTTATTCTTCTACACAAATCCTAACAGGCATGCACTGGCCCTTTCAAAAGGGGAGTGAGTCCCTCCTGCCCCCACTAGTTCTCCCTCTCCTCCTGTCGGTCAACAGCCACCCACAGCAGATCTCAGGAAGCACCCGGGTCAGAGATTGTACTTCAGAATTCACAAAGGACTTCATGTCCAAATCGTACCCACTTTGTGATTTTCTTACTTCTTGATGATCCCTCATCACAACGATAACATGGCCCCAGGACACCTCGCAGGCTGTCTCCTCTGGGCCCATAAGCAAACTCTCGTTTTGTTTCCAACGGAAAGCTCCATCAGCTTGGCTCCAGGGCCCTGCAGCTAGCTGCTTCAGGTGCCTAACGGGCGATAAAACTCAACCCGATTTTCCCTGTGCTCTGCCCAGGTGGTTGTCACCAGGTGCCACTGAGTTGGTTCCGACACATCGCAACCTGGGGTACAGCCGAAGGGACCGCTGCTGGGTCCCATGCCATCCTCACAATCGTGAGCATGTTCCATCTCTTGGAGGGGCTTCTCTTTTCTTCCTGGTTTTGGATGACCCTCTACTTTGCCAAGCATGAGGGCCTCCTTCAGGGGATGATGCCTCCTCCAGAGGTTCTCAACCTGTAGGTCGCGACCCCTTTGGGGTCGAACGACCCTTTCACAGGGTCGCCCAATTCATAACAGTAGCAAAATTACAGTTATGAAGGAGCAACAAAAATAATTTTATGGTTGGAGGGGTCACCACAACATGGGGAACTGTATTTTTTTTTTAAGCTGTATAATTTTTAAATTTTTCTGGTAGTCTATGGCACTTTACTGATTAATTATTATTTTTTATTTATTTAAATCATGGGAAACTGTATTGAAGGGCCACAGCATTAGGAAGGTTGAGAACCACTGTGCTAACCTATCCCGAGCCTGCGAGATGAAGTCTCACAGTGTTCCTCCATTCTGAGGAACATTCTGGCTACTTCTTTCTCAGACAGACCTGCGAGTTCTTCTTGCGGTCCATTGTATATTTAAAACACTTCATCAGCTCATGAAATCAAATGCCTGAACCTTTCCACAGCCTTCCTTATTTATGTGCTGTCCAGGCCCCCCCACCCCCACCCCATGTACATGAGACAATTGAACATGCCACGGCTTAGGTCAGGTGTCCCTTCGTCCACCCTCAAAGTGACTGGCTTAGCACCTTAGCACTTTAAAGAGTTCTTTTGCCGAAGATTTGCCCGAGGCAATACATCCTTCCATTTCTTGCCTGCCACTCACCCAAGTTTGGGTTTACTTTCCTTTGCCCGTATGGGGACATGGAAATTGCACACAGCCTATTTCTCAGGTGCTTCGTGGTGCCTGTTTTTCTTGCTGATTTATCAGTCCATCTTTGTGGCTCCACCCAGCGAACCTTTCTCTCTGCCCTAGAGCACCACTGTGGTCCAACCCCCTCCTCCGCCCCGCCCCCCCCTTGGCCCCCATTCCCAGCCTGGACCATCGCATCTTCTCTCGGGCTGCCATGGCCCTCCAGTGATGGTCAGCACAGTAAGCAGACTGGCTCTGAAAAGGCCGGTCACATCAGGCCAGTCCTCTGCCTCACCCCCTACAGTGGCTACCTGCTTCACTCGTCAAAGATCAAGATAACGAGGCCACACCTCTGACCTCTCCCACACATCTCACCTGACCGCCTCTCACACTTACTCAGCTGTGGCCACCGAGTGTGGCCACAGAAGTTGTGGCTTCTGTGTTGATCTTGAAACATGCCAAGTGCTCTCGCACCTTGGAGAGAGGTCTCTTCCCAGAACATGCCGAGGTAGCTGGTTGCATGTCTGCCCGTTACTTCTCTACTGAGCAGCCGGGCCTTTCTGACTGCCCTGTAGGGTGTCTTAGCCCCCTCCCCAGCCCTACCACCAGTCTCTTCTCTTCTTAAGTCAACACCTGAAATACTGTAGGTTTGTTTGTCGTCTGACTTCTCGGTGTCGACGTCATGAAGGAAACACTGCATGTTTCCATGGTTGTGGGCTAGCTCCCGGGTCCCTGGGTGGCACAAATGATTTGTGCTCAGCACAGCGGCAATGCGTTGGGCTGCTAACCACAGGCCAGTTCCAGATTCCCAGCTGCTCCACAGGATAAGGATGAGGCTTTCTATTCCCATTAAGAGTTACAGTCTCAGAAACACACAGGGGCAGTCCTACACTGTCCTATAGAGCCCCCATGAGTCGAATCAACTCAAAGGCAGTGAGTTTGAGGGACTAACCCGGTCTGGAAGTTCAAATCCACCTAGGGGCACCAAGGAAGAAAGGCCTGGTGATCTACATCTGTAAAATCACAGCCACGGAACACTCACTAGAACACAGTTCTACTGTGATACCTATGGGGTTTCCATGTGTTCACTTGAAAGAAAAACAACATTTAGCTCTGAGAATCCGATTTGGCTCATGGTAGGTAGGTGCCTGATAAATATTTGCTGGTTAAATCAATAAAGGAGACTAAAATAAGACAGGACTGGAGAGGATTAGGACTGTTAAAAACCATATTTGATGTTTAATTTTGAGACAAATTAAATACGGTTAAGTTAGAAGAGACCCGAGATGCAGATGCATGGGGCTCTGTGCCCCTGCAGCGTTCTGGGGGCTCCTTGCCCTCAGCATCACCCCTCTGCGTGGCAGACTGGGCTCAGAAAACAAGGGGCAGTCATGACTCCTAACAAACTCATTCTCAACAAAGATGAAGGTTGCAGTCCACCAGGGTTATAATTATAAATAAATACACATGCAGCTAAAAGATAATAAGGGAAAACAACTGAAGTAACATCGGGGACAGGGGTGGGGGTGGGTGGAGGTGGGGTGGGGGGGTAATACCTTGATTATTTTCAAAAAAAGAATGTCCCATTTGGTGGTTCAACATTAATTTCCTGACAATGAGCCCTGCGTTTCCGGCTAAGGAGGTTGCAGGCCTTCAGGGCTGGTTCTACTGTGCTCAAGGCACAGGCTCGTCTGTAGATCGCTGGCTGCCCACACCCCCTTCCTCCCCTCCCTTCATGCCACGACTCAGAGGCCCATTCCAAAGCAACCTCGGGCAGTGGAGAGGCCAGGGAAAACCTCCTGCAAGGGAGGCTGGTGTCAAGGGTCTGAACCCCATCAGAGGAAACACATTTCAAAAGAGGAGCCGGTGCTGTGTTTGAAGTTTACATCTGCTGACCTGAGTTCTGCCCACCCAGGAATGGGCTCTGAACAACCCAGGAATGGGCTCTGAATGCCCTTCAGACCGATCGGTGAGTTTAAGCAGAGTGGAGGTTGTTACCGGTTAAAAAATTATTACCTCTTCAGTAGGGACCCTTCCCTTTCTCTTCACCTGGGAGGAAAATTGTGCTTCCAACTTTCTAGACCCCGATCACAATGACCACCAGGGGGCGCCATCGCTGGTGAGAAAGCCGGACCAGTGGGACAGGGCAGACAAGGAAAGGGAGAAGTTGGTAGTGGGCCTTGGGCACCGACCATCTGGGTCATTGCTCCTTCTCTGGCGGTCGGGGGCCAGGCAACTGGGGAGGAGATGGGTTTGTTCCCCAGACACAGAGAAGTGACCTTCCCTTTTTAAAAAAGTTTGTGTTGAAGAGAATGATTTCCAAAGCAGTGAGCTCAGGTCTCCTTCTCCTAATGTCCCCATGACCTCCTCTCCCTCTCCCTAAACCCTTCTGCTGTGCAGGGACAGGAAGGGCACTGTGCAGCTCTCTCTCCCTCTCTGCAGACTGGAAGGGATGCCCCCTCCAGAAGAGGGGTCCTTAGCTGGGCCTGGTCTTCTGTTCTTGGGCAAGCAAGGGCTGGGAGAGCGCGGGGGACAGGGAGGCAGTGCTGTGGACAGTGGGTCACACATGCTTTTTCTCCTTTAGTCCAAGTCCCGTCAGTGACCTGTGCTGGCTCCAGTGCCCACTTCATCCTGGTGCTGGAGGAGAAGGCTGGGGGATGTGGAGCCAGAGGAAAGGCCTCTGCTCCCGCCACAGCCCGAGGCACACGGAGCCTGTCCGCAGGCCCAGGCCCCCATGCAGAGTCTGTTGGGATCCCAGACGGCCAATTCTGTAAACATGAACCAAAGTAAAAGCAGGAGGTATGTCTGCTTGGAGTGCAGCCCTCCAGAAGAGGAATGAAGTGGGAGTGGCCACATGTCCTTTTTGCCCATGGCTGCTCTGCTCTCTTCTGAGCTGAGCTCTCGGGCGGAGGTGCAGGATGGCCGCTGGGCTGAAGCAGGGAGCCAGGCGCCAAGTGTGCTCTCACTCCTCAGCCCCCATGATGGGGCTGGAGCTGCAGCAGCGTTGTTCGCATGGCCTCTTCAAAGGGCCTGCTGGGACCTGGCTGTCATGCCTCTGTGCTCCTGCCTCTGGAGTCTCTTGGGCCCTTGGTCATGTCGGATGGAAGAGAACAACAGGTTTGGGGTTCTGTGCTTTAATTTTGTCTGTCCTTCATCCTGGCTATAGGCTGGCTCTCTCGGAAGCCCTCAACTTAGCAAGGAAAGTGATGGTGAATCCTTAAGAGTTAGCCTTGGAGGGCCCGTCAGCAGCGGGAGAGGGTGGCAGGCCAAGACTGGGCTCTGAGGAGGAGGCTCCTGTGGAGTGAGAGGAGGAGTGGTGAGGCATGAGGCTCAGAGGTCATCAGACACATGACAGAGCCACCCCGGGGGGCCTGCTGTGGCACTTCACTGAGGATGCCTGGGATGGGATTGCCCAGGGCACCCAGGGAAGGTGGGAAGCAGTACGCATGCGTTCTAAACAGACCCAGCAAGGGTGAGTTTTCAGTTCAGGGGACAACATTCAGTGACAGCTTGTGGGCCCCTGAGAGCGGGACAAATGTCATCGTTATACAGAAGCTCCAGGCCCAGAGAGACACTGTGTGAGCTCCCACCCTGGTCGGGCAAAATCTAGGCAAGGAAGCCAGAAGGAGGGGCTAGTCTTAAGAGGCCGGGTAAGACCATAGAAGAAGCCCACAGGAAAATCCTGGCTCTGCAAATCCTTCTGTGTGTGGTCTTAGACACGTCATCTGATGTCTCGGAATATCACTTACCAATGCAGACAGAGCCTCTGGACTGCTGCCAGAAAAAGTGAAAGTATCAACAGGACTTGCTGTGTGCCAGAGCCTGTCTCGGGGTCCCCACAACCCATCCCAGAGAAGTTAAGTAAAGTCAAGCAAGTTAAATGGAGTGAGAGAGGTCAAAATGGCAGGGCTGGAATCGGAGGTAACAGGTGAACATGCTGGAGAAGGTGACCTGCAGTGTGCAAACGGTGCTCATTCCAGCAAGAGGAGACAGGCAGAAATCTACAGACCTGGGAATAGGAGAGTCAAAATCCAGGTTCTTTGGGAAAGTGATCCTGCTAATTGCTCTAAGGAAGTGTTTGGAAGGTAACACTATTCCAGGTGTCTGGGGGCAGACGTGCCAGGCTGTGTAAGAGAGGAGTGGGACCTGCTGGTTTTCAGACGGTTCATCAGGCAGGAGCATTGCTCTGCCCTCCCCAGCAGGAGGAGCGGGAGGATAGCTTGCCAGAGATTGAGGCTGAATCCTATGCCCAACTGTGTCTGCCACACTGGTGCCCCCTGCCTTTATCTCTTCTTACCTGTCCCCGTGGTCAGATCTCCATGCTGGGGTCCGTGAAGCCTTTCTTCCCCTCATTCACCAGCACTGGCTTTTCTGTTCGTGTATGCCACACCAGGATCTGTGGCCAGAGACATAGCAGAGTGGGTGGGCCCTGGCTGTGACCTGCCCTTCACTCCTCCACACCCCACAGCAATTCTACCGCCACCCCCCCCCAACCCCCCACCTCCTCAACCTGACCCTTGTCCTGTGAAGCTTTCTTGACTGGTTCTTAGTTTTGCCTACCCCATCATTCTGGACATAGGATGCATTCACTATCTATGCTGGAAACATGAGAGCTACAGGTAAGCCAAGCAGAGCACAGGTCCCAAGGTGTCCTCCCCTCGGCTTCTTGAGGGGTATCTCTAGGGAGAGAACGAGTCTGCAGGACCGTTCCATTCAGCCAAGTGATAGCCTGGGAAGTTCCAACTTTTTAGTCCCAAGTTTATAGTTGTGTGTGTGTGTGTGTGTGTGTGTGTGTGTGGTGTGTGTGTGTCTTGACAGAGAGGTTGTGGAGCACAACTCTTTTAAGGGCAGAGACAAGGTCCTTGCTTATGACTCCCTGGTGACTGCCCCCTCCTGGTTCCTTGCCTTACTTTAGTATGGCTGCCTTACAGGTGCTAGTGTTCTCGGGAGAGGATGATTTTGGAAGGAGCAGTGAAGTGAAATTGCTTGGGGTGGCTCTTCTATCCATAGTCTCTGTAATTCCCACCAAATGACTATGTGGAAGTAAGCAAATAAAGTCTAGGGGACTACTGTGAGGGGATGGTTAGTTTTGTCATTCTGTTAAATATAAAATGAGCCACCTCAGAAGCAGGAACAGAGGGAATCCCAGCACCACCCAGAAAAAGGAGGGACAAGAGCATATCCCAGATCCCCGTGTGAAGAAGGGGCGGCAGCAGCACAGCCCATCCTGGCCCGTGGAATGAGTAAAGCTGAGTAACTTTGGTCAGGAGACCAGTTTGCGGAGTGGGGTGCCCTTTGGGCATCATCAGTGCTAAAGGAATTTTGTAACACTGCTGAAGCAAGGCAGAGACCACGGGCTGTGTGACTGAAGGGCTGTGGGCCAGAGAGAGACATGTCTGCATGAATGGCTGAGAAGAGGTGCCACAGACTAAATAATGGTAACTGTATCCTTAGGAGTTCTGGTCTTAAAGGCTTGAAGATAAACAAGTGGCCATCCAACTGAGAAGCATCAAAGCCCACACGGAAGAAGCATACCAGCCTGATTGACCACGAGATGTAGAAGGGACCAGTTATCAGACATCAAAGAACTGAAAATCAGATCAGTGGGTGCCCACCTTCCTGATACGATCACTGAAGACAAACATGTGCATAAGCAAAGGTGGTGAAGAAAGCTGATGGTGCCTGGCTATCAAAAGATATAGTGT